TAGATGTTAACTAACTGACTGTGGACCTGTATCCTTGTCCATTACTTAAGGCTTTTAATAGTGGCTTAAATGTTAAGTAACTGCCTGTGAACCTGTATCCTTGTCCATTACTAAAGCATTTTAATTGTGGCTTAAATGTTAAATAACTGACTGTGGACCTGTATCCTTGTCCATTACTAAATCATTTTAATGGTGGCTTAAGTGTTAACTAACCGACTGTGGACCTGTATCCTTGTCCATTACTTAAGACTTTTAATTGTGGCTTAGATGTTAACTAACTGACTGTGGACCTGTATCCTTGTCCATTACTAAAGCATTTTATTTGTGGTTTAGATGTTAAGTAACTGCCTGTGAACCTGTATCCTTGTCCATTACTTAAGGCTTTTAATTGTGGCTTAGATGTTAAGTAACTGCCTATGAACCTGTATCCTTGTCCATTACTAAAGCATTTTATTTGTGGCTTAGATGTTAAGTAACTGCCTGTGAACCTGTATCCTTGTCCATTACTAAAGCATTTTATTTGTGGCTTAGATGTTAAGTAACTGCCTGTGAACCTGTATCCTTGTCCATTACTAAAGCATTTTAATTGTGGCTTAGGTGTTAAGTAACTGCCTGTGAACCTGTATCCTTGTCCATTACTTAAGACTTTTAATTATGGCTTAGATGTTAAATAACTGATAGTGGACCTGTATCCTTGAATTTTGCCTGCGATTATATGTCAAAGTAAGGCTACTTTGAACAGTGTTAAAATTATGTCCAGCGTTCAGCGTTCCTAGGCCTATCAGTGTATCTCACATTAAGATAAATGATGACAGTCTAAGGTAAGACACTGTATCGATGTAATACATTACATTGGAAAAAATGATCTAATTTGATTCAGAGCCCAAAACGTGGCATGAGTTTCATGCAGGCTTTCCATAGTGTGTTATGCAAGATCCTTTTCTTCATAGTGCCTGACGAGGGATCCATTGACTTGTACCAGTTAGTTAATGAACTGAGTTTTGCAAATGAGGCAAGACGAGGAGGTGTAGTGTTTGCAGAATCAGAAGTCAGTCCTTTTGCAAATACATTAATGTAGACTGTTACTAGTGTGTTTAAGACATTTTAGTGTACTAGCCAATACGTTAGAAAACGTATTAGTCAATTAGAAGATGAGTGCCACAGAAGATCTTTAATTATTCTTTGCCATAATACACCATTGTTGTAGACTTATCTTATTGTTATTTTAGTAAATTAGCATAAGTAAACAAAAACAGTTATGCTTGTTAACACGTCTCAGTGTACTGAAGTTACTAATACGCTGGAACAGTAATGGCATACACGAGTTTTTGCTACATTGAAACAGTTAAAAAAATCTTAGTGTTCAATGTAATCACAAAATAAGAAGTATTTAGAAATCGCCACTGGATATCACAGATATAGTGTGGTTGACATATTATCATACACCTTTCTTCAATTTCACTCAGATATTTTAATTAATAATTATTAATTTAGTCTTCTTCAACTGACGCTGTGGTCAGTCACCCACTCTGGGATCAAGAAGGACTAGCTTGTTGATCGTCAATTCTTCTGAATGATGAGCAGGTTAGTTCAAGAAAATAATAATTATTAATATATGGTGTTAAAATAAGTAAATGATATAGTTAAAAATCCTTAATTAGTTCTGATGTGTTTTGATATAAGTAAAAATTAATGAAATGTTTCACTTCACTAAGTTAATCCAGCTCACACCATTACAGTTGCTGTCCATCAATTTGCTGAAAGAAATAGGGTTTAAACCATTACTATGTCTCTTTGTAATTCAGCCGCCTCATATTGGACGAAAGGCATCGTCGTCACTGGTTATAACAGATATATTGAAGGTGACATATTATTATACAATCGTCTTTCACTCATAAGTTATTGTTAATAATTAATAAGGTTTCGTACAAACAACTTTCCGATCCAAGTAGAACAAAATACTGCAACCTATTCCTTTTAACATAATACCGAAAAATGGCTGTTACAAGTCTCGTTCTCTGTTTATAAAAATGGAAAATTGTGAATACGTTATTTTTCATTTGGTTATGGGATCTCAACAGTTTGTTTTTATGTAGAATAATGTATCTCATTCCAGAAATTATTATATAGTATCTTATTTTTTTCCGTCTTCATTAGAAAAGATATAAGACATCATAAACTACGCGAAGAATCTCACACTAGTAGAGCAAGACATCATAAACTACGCGAAGAATCTCACACTAGTAGAGCAAGACATCATAAACTACGCGAAAAATCTCACACTAGTAAAGCAAGACATCATAAACTACGCGAAGAATCTCACACTAGTAAAGCAAGACATCATAAACTACGCGAAGAATCTCACACTAGTAGAGCAAGACATCATAAACTACGCGAAGAATCTCACACTAGTAGAGCAGAGAGTAAAAGAGATGGAACATGCTAGAAAAGTATTTATCTAAAAACGTTTTTCTTTTTTTTCCTTAGAACTTTCAAAAAGATAGAACTAAAGAGAAAGATTTTGCTTACTTAGCTTGATGTTTTTGTTTTTTAAGTAGGGTTAGAAAAACAATAACTAAACAAGAATTTAAGACTTAAGTAATATAAAAGAAATCGTTCATTTGATTTAGAGAAGGATTTGAATATATGAATATGACCGAAAATATTTACTTTTGTTTGCCTTTAACCTGAACCGAAGAGTTTTTTTTTTTTTATTAATAACAAATATAAAGATGTTTATATTCTGTTTGCCTTTAACCTGGATCGAAGAGTTTTTTTTTAGTAATAACATATATAAAGATGTTTATATTCTGTTTGCCTTTAACCTGGATCGAAGTTTTTTTTTTTGGTAATAACATATATAAAGATGTTTATATTCTACCGGTAGTTGGTCCGCTTTTGAACCAAAAACTGGAAAGATACTGTTAGTAAAAAATCTAGCTAATAGTATAAAATTTCCCTTACTTACCTAGAGTTCGCTCCTGAACTTTAACGGGAGGTCTGACCATTGGAAGCGTAAAACGACCTTTTGAAGGTCTACGAAACCCAGTAGCTGAAGTTTCTGCTTCGGACATAATACCTGGGTCATCTTCGTATACGCTAGCAGGAATCTCATATGGAGAGCGCGCCCTCTGTCGGCTATAGTAGTTCTGTGAAAAAACAAACAAAACAACATTTTAAGTGTGATGTGACTCTAGTTGGATTGTTTAAAACTAACATTTAAGGATTAATCACACCTTATAAGGACGATATTCTTGGTCTCATGATGCTCTTGGAACGACTTCTTCCATTTGATCATGCTTACTCTGATGGCCACTATTACGTACTGTTGCCAGACATCGCAATTTCCATTGTAATAGGCTTCTATGATGGACCTGTACCCTGGTGGGACAACGGTTAGTCTACGGATTTTGCTATGAAAAAATACACAAACACACATAGTATGACGGGCGGCGAGGTTAATATTAGAACCACAAATCTTGACAGACTTTCCACAGAGTTCATACTAGACATGGGCATTGGCGTTTAAGCTGCTAAAGGCATTAAAGTCCATTGAAGGTGCATCGGGGGTAGGTGGGGTAACAGGTATGTCGTCTAATGAGTTTATTTTGATTCTAATTTCTTTGTCATAGCTGGGCTGGAAGTTTGTGAACTTTTGGCTTAGGGCCTTTCTTTACCTGAATTTTTTTTTATTACTTCCCTAACGATGCCAGAACTAAGACACAACTTTATCGCAATAGTTGTGGTTTGG